CTGACTAACTTGTCTTGTATTTGTAGTTAATTGAAAAATCTTAACAGCTACCATTGTAGTCACTTGACCAAAAATGTTAACTGATTTCTCTCCACAGGTGCTGCCAGACCTGGTGCGCTTTTCCAGCAATCTCCATTTTTGTTTCTGAAGGAACTATGACTGTTATATTAGTACAAGTCTTGACAATTTTATATAATATACTATTTTAGAAGCATTTAAAGTTGAATCTAGTTAATACTGGACAAGTGTAAATGTGAACCCTTTATCTTATAGCAGCTATTCTGTCAATTGCTAGCATTCTTACTTCTGGTTGATTTCTGACTCTAGGACATGAGCATAAAATTCAAGGTGGCATACCACTGTAGTGGAGGCCAGCACTCAGAGTCAGAGAAATATAGCACAGAAACAGATCCTTCAGTCCAATGTGTCCATGCCAACCATATATCCTACATAAATCTAGTTCCGTTTGCCAGCATTCATATACCCATCCAGATACCTTTTAAATGTTGTAATCGTACCAACCTCCACCACTTCCTCTGGCAGCTCATTCCATGTACGTACCACCGTATGTGTGAAAAAGTTGCCTGTAAAGTCCCTTCTATATCTTTCTCCTCTCACCTTATGCCCTCTAGTTTTGGACTCCTACCAGATTAGTTGTCTTTTAGCGGAGATATTAAAATGATTGTAAGCCCAACCTACTCAACCTCTGATTCTGGGATGGAGGGATTTTCATATCAATCTGGTAAACCTTCTCTGGTAAACTGTCTCATCCTAATGCTAGAGGATCAGCCACTAAGTAGTCAATAACAATTTAGTGATAGATGTACCTAATAACCATGCAATTCATTTTCACGTGGAGTAAATAAAACTGAACATACGCTGTTTAACAAATCACTGAAATAAACATTTTTTCTACTACATTGATGTCAAAGGTCACAGCACCATTGAAAACAACTGAGTCAGAGCACTACTGGAACAGGCCTAAGGTGAAGCTGCCTTCCAAACTCTTAAGTCGGATATGGTACATCAGCACAGAAGCATTGTGTGATTATAATGGAAGTATTTTAAGTCCAAATGTGGGTACCTCGACTGTAGGTGTTTATAAGCACTTCTCTCCTACTTTTACTTAGGAGGCAGGGTATAAACGATCTTGATGTTTATGGCTTAAGACATGATAAACACTTTCCAAAAACCTGACCAAAAGTTAAGTCCAAGTGAAGATGGTCTTTTCTGAAAAAGTTGTCTTGTGATTTACAAATAATCTCATTCCTCAGAAAATCATTTCCACTGTTTACCTATTGTCCAAGTCATTTATTTACTGAACAAATACAGTGTAATGGCCTCAAACATCCATCCTGGCAAAAAAAATTCCTAGTGACTGCCCTTGGTGTTTAAAAATACTTGTTTTTCATCCAGAATCTGTACCCTTGTTCACATACATAACTATATTCAACAACAGGAACTGAATATAACAGCATAATTAAATTGTACAATGCTAAGCTCTTGGGAAATACCTAGTGGTGTTTCACAGTACCAATTATGAATGAGAATTTCCTTTTCCAGGGCTAGGAATCATTTGAGATGTAGTCACAGATGAACCTGCATGAAGAAATGTTCAGAACTTATAGAATATTATCGGCTGGATGTAAAATATTATATTTTATTCAAATATGGTAAAATATGAAGTATGGAAACAAATGGAACAAAACAAAACAATAGAATATAATACAATACAATACAATACAATACAATACAATACAGATGAAACCAGAGCATTTATTGCAAAATATCATCCTTTTTGGTTGTGGGATGAACCTCTAGCCACATCTGCTCCATCACCAAAACTGCTGACTTGTAGCTCTAAAATAACAATCATTTCTTCCTCAGATTATCTGAGAACATCTTCATTCACATCTTTGTTACCTCAGGATTCAACAATTCCAATGGGGTCATGGCCAGTCTCCACTCTTCCACCTTCCATAAAACTGAACTAATCTAAATCTCTATTGACCATATTCACATTAACCCAGCAAGACCTGTGCTCACCAAGCTATGCTAGCTCAGTTCAATATCAATTTGATTTCAGAATTTGCATCTCCATTTTCAAATCCCTTTATGAACTTGCACCTTCCTATTTTCATAATCCCATCCACCCCTAAAACCTTTTGAGATCTTGGTACTTCACCAACTCCAGCCTGTTGCATGACCCTGATTTCAACCATTCCACCAATGACAGACAGCTGCTTGGGTCTCCTGTTCTAGAAATCTCTCCCTAAACAGTTCTGCATCTCTGAAGCTACTCTTTGAAATCTACACCTTTGTCCATTCTTTGGATAATGGAATATTTCTTTAAATGGCTTAATGCCCATTTTTGTTTGATAATGTTCCTGTAAATACAATTTATTGTTACCATATGAGATATAGGAGAGATCCCTTAATACACCTACAATAATTTATATTTAGAAGGCTTTTGAACATCAGAGATATTGGATCTTCCATCATTTATTCTAAAATTATTTTATTGGACGTGCTTTACTTATAATCTATGGAATCTACAAAATTAATAGTTGTGTCTAGTGTTTCTATTTACACAATTAGTAAAAATGGAGACTCTCCAGCATGTTTATACTCAGGTTATACACGAGTGTCTTTAAAACATTGGAAGTACTGTGCAGATTGAACATTACTTGAGAAACTAGTGTTATTATTTCAAGGATAATACTTAATCAGTGGTTCAACTAGTTTAAATTTTCAAATCCAACTTGCCTTGAAAGGGATTTTCTGCTCCCTGCTGTGATTCACTAGATTTCAAATCTGCAAAGAAGAGTTTAGGTCTCCCATGGTATTTGAGTCTGTAAGTATCAGTCATGCAATAATCCACAGAAAAATAGGTTGTTGGAGCAACGTGTTTATCTAGTCCTACCGAAGGAGCACTGGTTGCAAACACTGCAGAATCATCAGGCACATACGCCTCATGATTAGATTTTTCAGCAGAACTTGAAATCTGTCCTTGATCAGAAATCCTTCTTGGAACCTCATTCAGAGGCACTGTTGCATCATCCATAAACCTGGATTTTACACATGTAGCCACTTTTGTCAAAATAGAAACATTTTCCTTTTGCTCTCTTAGCTCATCCATTGATTTAACACTTAAGGCACTGCTGTCCAAATTGGATGGGGCTCTCCGATTATACATTTTTGGAGGCAAAGGTGGTGGTGATGATGACCTTTCTTGACGGGTAGATTCTAGGAAATTTTCTCTCTTTTCACAACCATGATATGAGCTTAGGCCCTCAGACAGCAGGCATTGATCAAGCTGAGATTTCTCAGAGGATCGACTAGCTGGATGCAAATGTACTAGTGATCCAGTTGGTGGTGTTACTGCGTTTATTTCCATATGCTGTAAATGGGGAGGAATCCAATGATCTGCAGAATCCAGTGACATTGGAAAATTGTAACCAGAATTTTTTCCATAAACAATCTTCTTGAAATCTTTACTAGGAAATACATGATCTTGTGGCACAGATATATCTTCGTTGTTGGACTTGGCTGAAATATTTGGAACAGGTTTGTCTGTGGGTGCTTGTTTCAATTGTTGTTGTAGTGGATTTGGATCATTCTTACAGAACCTGTGGTTTTGCAAGTACATTCCTGATGACTCATGGAACTGTGTATTTTGCTTAGGGAGGGGAGCAGATTTCCAGGATCTTTCTACCAAAGGTGAGGCTTGGCCTTTAGTGAGCCTATCCATACCAAACTGCGATCTAAAAATGAAGATAAATTAATAATGCAAGTTAAAATTCTTCCATAGCATTTACAAAGTATTCCTATAAAGGAAAGAAGACTCTCCATAAATATTTGAAATGGAATTCTTACTTGAATTTATTGCAACATCAATTACCTCTGCATGTTAAGTCCTTCAACAATCTCATCTCTTTGTTTCGACTCCTTGTTCTGCATTTCAACTGTGATTGAAAAGGAGTAAAAGCTATTTTGTTAGTTCACATAAATGCAACTTCAAATAATGTCTAGTTCTTACTCAGTGCAGTCTTATATAATAAATATTACATGATCTATTCTGGCTATTTAGAAACATTCTGAAATTACATCTATACCAATGTATAATGCTCATCGCTGAGAAAACAATTGATAATATGGATTGTGAAGAGATGAAAAATAATTTGTAAAAGCATAGACTAACTACACTCCTTATAGGAATGAAAGATAATTAAAAATTACATTTTGCAGAATATGAATGCATTCATGTCTCAGAATGGGAAATTTGCATACACCATGTGGGCTATTAGTAGGCCCCAATTTGCATACATCAGCACTTGCAGAAAATTACATGCCATATTACAATTGATCCTCTGCAGAGTTTTGTTAATCTTTTGATGCATCTAATAGTTATCATAATCATCAATATCTTCGTTTTCAAAAAAAAGCTTAATCTTGACTATTCCTTTTATCACTTTAAACATCTCGATTTTGTCCTGTCAAATCTTCTCAGTTTGAAGGAATCAAGCTACAGACATTCCAAATCAGGTTGTTTTTACAAATAATTTGGTCAACAATATAGGCAACATCAACAACGCAAGGCTGCACTTAGTACTTACTGCCCTGAAAAATGGGTAGTAGCACTCAAGACCACAACAATGTTGAACTAGATCCTTGGAATTAGAATCCACTGTTTAGAATCATATCTGGCACAAAGAAAGATGGCTGCAGTTATTGGCAGTCCATCATTTCAGTCCAAGGATGTCACTGCAGGGTTTCTGTCCTAGGCCAATATTCTTCAGCTGTTTCAAAGGTTTTCCCTCCATTATATGAATGTCTGATGATTGCACAATTCATCACCAGTCACCACTCCTCAGATACTGATGCAGTTTGTGTCCATATGCAGAAACACCAAGACAACATATAAGCTAGGACTGATAGCTGGTGCAAATGTTATTGCCACCTAAGTGCTGGACAATGATTATCTCAAACCTAATCATCACCCTATATCATTCAATGGCTTTACAATCACTACATTCCCCCACTAGGGACTACAACTGACTCGTAATTAAACCAGACAGGTTTTGTCTACTTTACCTAAACAGGGTACAGTATTGTACATTTCTAGCAAGCCTTCACTCAAGTTCCTTTGCGTCAAAGGAAGCAGCCTCATCTTCTTTAACATTGTAGCTAAAAGCCTTCATCCCTGGAATCATTCTAGTAAATCTCCTTGGCATCTTGACAGAAATGGACAATAGATAATACTTGTGTCTAAGCAGTACTGTTATAAAGTTATTACAATCACAATGGACTTTTTGTGCTGAAAATCTTCATGTCTTTATATCACCTTTCATTATCTCGGCATTCCAAAATGCTACCTACTCAATGAAGTACATTATAAAAATGAATGCCCTTAAAGTAAGAAAAGCATCAGCCAAACATATAAACCCTCCTCAAATAGCACTTAGATAAACGATTGGATATCTTTGCAGCGTAAGCTTTCTCCAGGATAGACAGAATTCCTATAATCTATGGGATCTTATCCAATTACTCATCTGAGTGGAGGTGGTGCCTAAGTTTATTACTTAAAACAAAGTCAGCACCACTGACAGTGGAATAAAAAACAAAAGAACAGCGGATGCTGTAAATCAGGAAACAAAACAGAAATTGCTGGAAAAGCTCAGCAGGTCTGGCAGCATCTGTGAAGGAAAGAAGGGCTAATGTTTCGGGTCCGGTGTTCTGAGGAAGGGTTACCAGACCCGAAACGTTAGCCCTTCTTCTTTCCTTCACAGATGCTGCTAGACCTGTTGAGCTTTTCCAGCAATTTCTGTTTTGTGTCCACTGACAATGGAACTTACCTCAAAAATGGCATTTAAGTGTGAAACCACTGACTCAATAAGTTACAATGGGATTATTCCTCCAAGGCCAACATTTGGTTTACAGCGCTTTTGCAGTGTGTTGGTAGCAGCCCGACCTCTGGGCTAAAAGGCCTAGGTTTAAGTCACATCTGATCCAGAGGTGAATCATAACATGCTTGAACAGGTTGATTAAAACCATCTAACACTTGGTATACATTCTGTACATTTCTAATACTAATTAGGAAAAATCAACAACCGAAAATAGAGTATTCTTGTTTACATGTTATTTTAAATTATCTTAAATCATACAATCCTTAAAATATATTTTTCCATCCAAGAATGCCATATATACCAGAGACCAAATCCTCATCATTTCAGGCTGAAAAAGAATGGTCTAAGCTGAAGTGCAACAAACAGGAAAAACCTGTTCCATCATTCATACCTGTCTATAGTTGCAATAAGAGTTTTATGATTGTGGATGGCAATTTTCAGGAGGTGGGAGGAGAATAGGCACTCAGCTAAACAAAGCTTATAAACAAAACTACACAATATGTAATTTCAGCGTGCTTCCATCCAATCTCAATTTACAATGTAGCAAAAACTACAAAACCATAAAAATGATTTCTTACATTTCATTTGTGAATTTTTTTTTTAAGCCTACAGAGCATTCCATGCAGCACATTCCGAAACCTTAATAATTCAGGTACTACAGTAGATACATGTCTCCTATATCAAAAGCAAAGTACTGCGGATGCTGGAAATTGAAAATAAAAGCAGAAAGTGCTGGAGAAATCCAGTATGGCAGTATCTGTGGAGACAGGAATTGAATTAATGTGTTGAGTCCAATTGGATCTTCAGAACTGAAAGGGGCTGGAAAATTGTGTTTTTGTTTTATGCTGCAGACAGAGGCAGTAGAGAAGCAAGTGGAACAGGCTGTCTCTGCTTATGAGCACCTGTACAAAGGGTTGCTAATGGTGGTGAAGGAAAGATAGAAATGTAAGAGGTGTAACGGAAGATACGAAAAGGAGAAAATGGGTCTGCTCTGCTGACAAAGTCAACAAGACAAAAAAAGACAGCTGTGTGTTAGATGGGGTTGGGGTGGCTTCTGAGGAGTGGTGGGTGTTGGAGGATTTAACAGAACAGTAGGATACAGAGGTCATCCTCTGAAGTTGTGAAATTTAAAACTAAATTAAAGAGGCTGTAAGGTGCTACAATGGGAAAGAGGTGTTGCTCTCCCAGCTTGTATTGTGCTTCACTGGAACACAGCAGCAGGCCCAGGATAGCAATGTTTGCATGGGACACTGATTCACTCCTCCAGCACTCCTAACAATTCCTCACTTGCCCATGTCAGCAATTGTGGAAGGTGTATCACCTACTCATTCACCTCCTCACTGTCCTCAGCCCCAAACACATCTACGTAAAGCGTTGTCTTACTTGTACTTTTTTCAATGCAGTCTGCTGTATTTGCTGCTCACAATGCGGTATGCTTTACAGTGGCAAGAACAAATGCAGATTGGGTGATTGCTTTCAGAAACACCTCCACTCTAGTCTTCCAGTTGTTTGCCATTTCAATAAACCATTTTCCTCGCGGCAAACATTTCTGTCCTGAGCTTGCTATAGTGTCCCAGTTAAGCACACTGCAAATTACAGGAACACCTTCTCATTTCCTGCAGACATCTTACAGCCTCCAGGACTCAATATTAAATTTCACAATTTCAGAGCATGACCTCTGTATCCTCCATGCCCCCCCACTCCTCTCCACCCACACTTCCAATGCACACATACACAGCTGTGTTTTGTTGACTTTGCTCTCAATAGTGCAGACACATTTTCTCCTTTTCACAACTTCATTTACATCCATTTTTACACCTCTATCTTCACTTTACCCCTATTAGCAACTCCTTTGGTCTTTGGCTTTGAGTACCCTTACAATCTGTTCCACTTGCTCCTCTCCTTCTACCTACAGCATACAACAAAAATAATTTTCCAATTCTTTTCAATTATGAGGTCATACCAGGCTCAAAACATTAACTCTGCTTCTCTCTCCACAGATGCTACCGGACCTGCTGAGTTCCTCCAACGCGTCGTTTTCACATACGTCTACTATGTCTATATATGGGTCATTCATAAAAACCGAAAGAACTGTGGACACTGTAAATCAGGAACAAAAAAAGAAGTTGCTGAAAAAGCTCAGCAGGTCTGGCAGCATCTGTGAAGAAAAAAAAATCAGAGTTAACGTTTCAGGTCGGGTGACCCTTCCTCAGAAATGATAGTAGCTGGGAAAATGTTGGTTTCTATGCAGAAAACAGGGAGGGGAATGGGGCAGGGAGTAAACGATAGGATAAAGAATAGAGCCCAAAGAGAGAGAAGAGCAGTTGGACAAACAAAGGAGTTGATAACGATCTAGCTAGGAGGGTGAATAGCTGTTAATGGGGATTAGTGACTAACAATAGTGCGTAATGGCAGGCTATGTGATAACAAGGCATGGTGTGTGGGGTAGGGGTTTAGGACATTGGAGAGTTTAGGCCCTAAAATTATTGAACTCTATATTGATCTGGAGGACTGCAGGGTCCCCAAGCGGAAAATGAGGTGTTCTTCCAGCTTGCGTTGAGCTTCACTAGAACACTGCAGCAAGCCAGGGACAGATGTTGGCCAGGGAACAGGGCAGTGTGTTAAAGTGGCAGGCAACAGGTAGCTCAGAGATAGTAGGAACTGCAGATGCTGGAGAATCCGAGACAACAAGGTGCAGAGCTGGATGAACACAGCAGGCCAAGCAGCATCATAGGAGCAGAAAGGCTGACGTTTCGGGCCTAGACCCTTCATCAGAAATTTCTGGTAGCTCGGTCTTTTTTGCGAGCAGAACGTAGATGTTCTGCAAAGCAGTCACCCAGTCTGCAAAATAGAGAATCTGAATAATGCTTTAAAAGTGTCAGTCATGATACAGCAGCAAAGTATACTACTCTAACTCAAATTGTTTCATTTTTAAAAGTGAAGAAATTACTTTCATTACAAAATATAACTTTTACGTAGTGATGGAAGAACTACTAAACAGTCAACCTATTCCCGCCTGGTAGTCAATTATAAAAAAGATAAAATGTAAAAGATTTGAA